TAGCACACTTCCGTTCATTCCACATGGTGCTGCAGTGGCAGCTGGAGGCGAGTGGAGAGGGGAAGGGAGGATGAGGAAGGGAAGCGAAAAATCTACCGTCATATCATGATTGTGTCCCTTCTACTGTATGAAACACCATTGTGTTGCATACGCGTCACTTCCACGAGGTGTTGGTGTCACAGGAGGAAGGGACCATAGCGGAGGATAGAAAGCTTGCGCAGGAAAGGAAGGTCCCGGCGGTTGACGGGGGACTAATCTGGTAATATTGCAAGTACTTGTGAGAATATCAAAAGGAATGAAAGGTGTGAAGAAAAGTGCTAGGAACCCTCAAAAGTGCACTACACGCTAGTTGTAGGGGTGGAGACCTTCTCCTTGATCCGTTCTACTTATCGCGTCTTACAGTGTTCAGAGGAGAAGTCGACCAATCAAAAACGGTTATCTATGCGACTCGCACGCAACGTGCTTCCTAAGGCCGATGTCACACTTTGCGAATCGCGCGATTCGCTACGAGCGATTCGCGCGATTCGCAAAGTCTGACATAGGCCTAATAGTTTCCTTTCCTCATATCATTATTAATTGCTAACTGATTGGGCACAGATTGATTTGTTTATTACTCCTTTCTGATGGTCTCTTTAGATGTATGAAACAAATAAATAATTGACTGAACACAACATCAATACTCATTCCTATTGCAATGACCTAGACAATTGCGCAAAGTGCATGAAAAATAAGGAAGAAAGTGCAGAGAAGCAGAATTTAAGAACCTTGGTGGTATAAAGGAACCATACGTAAAATGATAGCTTATGTGGGAAGCTCTATTTTCAAATAACTGACGAATTTTAGACAGAAGACACCCCAATGTTGCTGATGAAGACACCTGAAGCTCATCATAGCTTAGTTCGTTTGCAAGACAAGACCGTGTCGAAAGTGGAATTTGTTTAGTGAAAGCGCAATGATATGAATAACGTAATGTTGATAGTTCATACAATACGCATTACACCTTTGCACGCTCAGCACTTTTACCTCTTACAAGCCAGGGTTGAGGGATACAAGTATAAAGCATTCGGTGATGATTAGTCCATTGTTGAGATGCGCCACTCATACCACTTGCACAAGTTGGATGCAATTTTGCTATATGATGACAGCAAAAATCAGCCGATATACATATCAGTGCTTCACCTTCCCAGAAGAGTCTGGTGCCAATCACCCCACTCCGGATAGATAGAAGGCCTTGCTTGTAGAGCAAAATTTGACCAGGCCAACAAAGCCAAGGTTGGAATCGGAAACCGGGCCGCTGCCGATCATGAGTGCGATGTGAAAAAAATTTTTTCTGGCGCCTTGTGAAAATAATTGGAGATAGACCCGACAAAAAAGTTGACCAAACCATTTAGAGAAAACGAAAATGTTCCCTAAGCAGACAATAAGGTAATCTGAACGATTTTCATAACGCAAAAAAAAACTCAACGTCCTACTAATCTTCGTTCAGCAATCCCAAGCTGAACAATGCGAGAAGGCTGGAAGGTTGCCTGGCTTACGCCCGAAAGATACTCGGAAAACTATGAAGACCAAGAACAAAGCATTCGGCATTGATCACTCTTTCGGGGTAGGCCAGGTAGGCCACGCATTCCACTTCCAACAGTAGTAGCATTGTGAATCCGATTTGATCTATACGATGACTTGCGTGGTCCAGCCGATGTGCCATTTGTATCAGAAAACTAGAGCGCGTCGAGCGCAGACGGCACACCACACAAGTAATGACGGCCTCCACAAAAGGTGTTTTCTGCCAATGAAATGATTAGCCTTTGTTGCAGTTGTATTCTATCAGTTGTCACTAATTACAACTATCATTTATCAACTATCATCTATGAATCATTAGTTATCAAGTTTACTCGGAGGGCGTCGTCACTTGCGGTGTGGAGTGTGCACTCACGCGCTTCTGATTTTCTGAAACAGAGAATACAACTCAGAGTTATCATGCAAGAAGGTCTAGTAACAATTTTTGACCTTTTGACAACCATTTCAGCAAAGTTGCAATGACGATGCAAAAAATTCAAGCGCTGCCCTACCTGAACCCCGTTAGGAGAATACATATGTCAAAAACAACTGTGTTCAATCCTGGCAGCAGCGGTGTTTCTGAAAAAAATGCATCTTAAAGTTAGGACGCATCTATGCGAATGGAATGCCAAAAGAGTTAGGGGTTTAGTTAGAATTCAATGCGAAACTGTTGAAGCTTCGTTTGTTCCGAACTATTAATGTTCGCTTTCACAAAGCAAAAATCTCTAGAACCCCCAGCGCGTCGCCCATCCTCCGCTCCGGAATTCGTTAATTGGATCCATCTAGATCTCCCTTTGCCAGCATTGTACCATTACATCAGCTAACTGAATGCAACATTTCAGTTCTATCCTTCCAAAAATTGCAACCCTCACTGAAATGAGCCCTTTCAAGCATTCTCTGGGTGAAACACTCACTGTGAAGATTTGCGCAAACCATGACCATCAAAAATTAGATAACATGTACTTCTGCTTACTAAATCATCGCTCGAAATTTGGAGCCTGCGTAAAAGACTTGGAGGAGCTATCATTAGTGTGAGAGAAAGACA